CTGGCCTCTGTTTATCTCAGGAGATTCGTTTCATTTCTTACATCTATCTTTTTAGGGTAACATGGCAATCGATCATCTTGATGTTATTTTTTAGGTGCACTCAGCACCCCATTCTTATTTACGATACGCCTAACATTTTGATATTACTCTTCTGATATTTAATATAAGACCTATTTAACTAATTTGATTATAAAAAATATGATATGTTTTTTTTAAAACACCACAATCATCTTTCTTAATATCTCATTCTCTCTTCTACTTGATTATGGTTGAATAAGTATCTATAGAAGTAATTTAGAAAAAATTAATAAATATAAAAAATAGGTCTTATATTTAGGATCAAAATTAAATTAATAATTAAATCCTATATTAATTACCAGATGAGTATCTTTTTGGTGCTTCTAATATCCTAATTTTATTTATAGTACATCCGACATACACCCTAAATCATAAGTAAAATCAAGATGTTAAATGTAACTAAAAAATAACATCATCAGATACTGAATGCATCAGAAAAATAATTGCTTGCTCACACAATAAAATAACGTATGATATATGACCATGTGCTTACATGTGAATAAAGGAAAAACATGCAAATACCCCGTGAAAGTAGGCCGGGCAGAAATGAAAATATACTACCTCATGTCCTAATTATAAGACCTTGTTTATAGTCTACAAATAGGACCAGAGACTACAAATAAAGTCTTATAATTAAGATCAAAGGTAGTATATCATCATTCTTTTGAGGGAGGTTCACCTCGCTCTTGTTTATTTTCCTCCTTTCACCCTGCTTTTTCGCTTCCACTAACGATTGACTTTCTATGTTTAACATCATGAACATGTGTAGAGTCAAATGTGTGTGCATATAGCTTTTGACCATATTATATATTCCCTCTTTCACTTTTAAATAAGAAGTTTGGTGAATTCTCCATTTCAATCTCAACCAACGAATAAGCAGCAGCCACGTTAATTTATAATTCTCGGGCTAAGTATCTGATTTATTGTATAATAGGGTTAGCTAGATTTAAATATTATGAAGTCTAATTATTAGAAGTAGTTTTTTTTTAAAAAATATTTTCCCATTCACAAGGTTAAAATTCTCGGCCTTAAAAAGAAATTTAAGTTATTCCCATACGCAGCTGAAATGACTTAATTTAATTCAATTAATTAACTTATTATAGAAAGACGGGTCGAACGTACTTTGAAAAGTGAAAACAAATGAAAAGGTAAAAATTTGTAGACTTGAATCATAAAATAAAATAAAGGGAGTAAACATAGTTTGGAGGCAACGGCAAAGCGCAATAAAAGTTTGTAATGCACATCATGATGGGAATTAATTGTTCAAAAGTTGAAATCCATATACAATATTAATATTTTGCCCCTGAATTCCTATGTTGTTGCTGATGATGCTATTATTAATATTAATAGTAAAATATAATCTGAAGTTGGTGACATCCTCCCCTATATAACAAAGTTAACACTATAATAAATAAACGTTGAAATTATACATTTATAAAAAAAATTCTTTTAATACCTATAAACAAGACTAAAAAGTTTTTTCTCTCCACCATATAACAGAATCAGAGAAGTATGATTTAAAGTGGATGCATGACATCCTACCCCATGTAACAAAAAAGGGGTCAACGCTGGAGACCAAGTCATGAAATGAAAAAAGGATCCGAAACTCGGAAAATATACAGCAACAGTCTTGAACCTTGACACGTTACCCCGTAATTCACTTGCATAAAGAACCCCAAATTCCAATTACCCCCCAACGTTGGGGGACTGCCGTTATGCTTATTTCTTAGAATTGAATTCTGTGGTCTCCCGAGAAAGACAGAAAGAAAGAAAGAAAGAAATGTGAATCCAAATTCAGCAATAGGTTGGTGAACTTCCTTCGCTAGTTCCTCCCCCAACCAACCATTTTAATTATCTTTATATATTAATAATCCCACTTTGCAAAAAAAAAAAAATTACAATTAAGAAGAAGTTAATTAAAGTCATTATCTTCACTTGACAAAGTTTCCACTAAAATCCAGTATAATTATACTGGTATGTACAAGAATAATAGAATGATGATGAGTAGTTAAATCAATTAGGTGGTGAGGGGAGAGTGTTGTGAGTGTGTATTGGTTATTCATGTGGTAGAAAGTATCTGTTTTATGGCGTCAAATAGCTGCAACTGGGTGGACTTTTTTAACCTGTTTTGTTGGGGTTTTATTTTTATTTATTTATTAGTAGTATTATTATTATTATAATTATTATTCTAATGAAGCGGTTGGTGAGTGATATTTGTCAAACGTGCTTTTTTATTTTTCTTCTCCTCCATTCGTTTTTTTTTTTTCTGTGGGGGGGGGGTGTTTGGCTTAATCTGAAGGGGACCGATTTGTGTCCTGTATTTGTTTTGTGCCTAACTCCAAGATATAGCTTATGGTACAAGTCACATACTTTATAGTTGGAGATAGATTAGAGGTGTGCCCATATTTTAATTAAATTCAAAGTCAATAGGAAATATATCTCCGTCAATTCATTGTGGGGTGTTGTGTTGTTTTTTCGTGCCATTCTTCTTTAGCTAACCACATTAACCAAGGGGTTAATTTCAACGTGCTCCGCCATGACTTAAAAAATTGAAAAAATCATGTCCCACTGTTAAAATATACTAATCACTACTAAAAAAAAATTTCCAGCAGCATAAATCTTCTTGTTATTTTCTATGTACTAGAACAAGTCATTAATTTATATGTTCATATCATTTCTGGCCCAAAAAATTTGATTTTGTTTTGGTTTTATTGCTTTAAATTTGTAACAAGTGATTTTAATCTTTAAGATTCCAATTGAAATTCATTTTGATCTTGGTCACTATATTTGAAACGAATGTTTTTAGGTCCTGAATCTGGCTTCATTGTGATTCGTCCAAAGTTTTTTAATTTCTTGACTAGTTTTTTTATCTTTGAAATAAGGACAAAAATTAAAATAAAATAAGATCAAATTTCAGAAACTAAAATTGCAGTTGGTTTCAAATTTTAAAAAAAAATTAATATAATTTTTGGTCAATGAAGTCTGCTCACATTTTAGTTTTGATCTGTTAAATTTTAAACTATAAGTTTTAGTCCTTTAAATTTCTTTTCATTTAAAATATCGATTCATGTAACTTAATATAATTTCATCTCTTGAGAGATCAATACTTATGGTTTGAAATTTGATAAATTAAAATAAATACAGATTTGAGGGGCTAATAATTATATTAATCCTTTCAAAAACCAAAATAAAAATCACGTTAAATTTTATAGATTAAAGATGATACTAACTCCTTGCTTATTATCATTTTTTTTTTTCTGGTACCTACATGACCCCGATTTTCCCAAAAGCAATGTGGAGGCACAATTTTTTCTTCACGAAGATGGTCCAAGTTTCGCCATGCCACGTTCTTCTCCGCAGTGATATGGAGACGCGTTGTTCATTCGATTTGACATACGTTTGGCTTCATTTGGCTGCGACATTATTATTCTTCTTCTTATTATCAATTTATCATCATTCAGATAATATCAAGAAATCTGGGTAAAATCAACATGACACTTAAATTACTGGTTTGGAGGGGAAAATAGAAAATTATGATTGCATTTGTGTGTGTATGAAAAGAAGGGTTTCGTTGAAGAAATTGAAATATATTGCGTGTTTTCATTCTGGAAGAGAATAAGCTCTATATTCATCTGTCTGAAGAAACATGATGCCGCTGTTTAGCTTGCAACTTTGTTCATCCATTTCATTACGTGGCTTCGTCCTTAATTCTGGATATCATTTATTTGTATCCTTCCTTCACTCATGGATATATCAATCTTTATATTGGCCATGAAGGAACAAGGGCCACAAAACAAAAATAAAAGAACTAGGTATACAGAATCCTAAGCAAACGGTGAACATCATTAAGAAAATCCAGTCTAAACCCATTATTAATTAATTAAATTTTAATTTTCCCTATTATTTTAATTCTGATTAAAAATTATCTGTCATAGAAGGTTCTAATTCTAATCGCAGACTTTATAAAATGAAAATAAGGTGGTTATAACTTATAATATTTGGGGGGCCAAAAAAAGAGAAATCCGGGTGAGAAGAACGCGCAGGTGGGGTTGACTCGGCGAGGCGGGGCGTCGACTCGGGCAGGCGGGAGAGGTGGGACCCAGCAGGAGAATAAAATAAATATTCCATTTCCTTCTGTGGACCCCGCAATTGGCCCCACAGGCTCTCTCTCTCTCTCATGCTTCGCATTCGTAGCCCCTGGGCTCTGCCACTTCCTCTAAAAAGCGAGTCTAACCGCGTCAATCCACAACGCACCAAAACTGCTTTTTGAGGGCTCTCTTCACACAATCCTTCTTCCCCTTCCCCACCCCCCTCCCTCCCTATTCAGCAATCAGCCTACTACCACGTCTTTATATTTAAAACTCCCTTCTTAATTTTAATCACATACCTACATTTGTTCTTTCTACTTCTCAATAATATTCATTCTTGTGCTCTTTGTCTCTCTCTGCCACAAAACCTTCCTCCTCCCTCTCCTCCTCAAATCTTTACGCCGTCGTCTCTGTTTGATCCTCATTCCAATAATAACACCCCCTTCCGCCTCATCCTCTTCATGTTGTCTTCCCTGTAACGCCGCTGCTTACATTACCTTTTCGATGATTAAGTTTTGAGAGGGAAGAACCTGATAATTAGGACGGGCAATATAATAATACATTCGTTTTGTGATTTGTAATTGTACTACCACGTCTTTATATTTAAAACTCCCTTCTTAATTTTAATCACATACCTACATTTGTTCTTTCTACTCTCAATAATATTCATTCTTGTGCTCTTTGTCTCTCTCTGCCACAAAACCTCCTCCTCCCTCTCCTCCTCAAATCTTTACGCCGTCGTCTCTGTTTGATCTCATTCCAATAATAACACCCCCTTCCGCCTCATCCTCTTCATGTTGTCTTCCCTGTAACGCCGCTGCTTACAACCTTTTCGATGATTAAGTTTTGAGAGGGAAGAACCTGATTAATTAGGACGGGCAATATAATAATACATTCGTTTTGTGATTTGTAATTGTCCTGTCAATCAATGAGAAGTAATCCAAAGCACGAACGCCGGTGGGCGTCCGACTCGGTCCCCGGGGGGGCGACAGTCAGCGCCGGGACTTCGCCCGGTACTGACTCCACTTCGGCTGCGGAGGAGTTTGTTGAGGTCACACTTGATCTCCAGGATGATGATACCATCGTTCTTCGCAGCGTTGAGCCGGCCACTGCTGCCCTTAATATCGAAGATGGAATGGTCACTGGCGGAAATGAAACTCCGGCGTCCGCCTCGAGATCGCCGACCATCAGAAGGAGCTCGTCCAGCAGGTTGCGGCAGTTCTCGCAGGAGTTGAAAGCAGAGGCGGTGGCCAAGGCCAGGCAATTCTCGCAGGAGCTGAAAGCAGAGCTCCGGCGGTTCTCCTGGAGCCACAGCCATGCATCGCGCACTCAATCCTCTTCCTCTGCGCAGAATGGGATAGCAGGAGTCGGTGGTGGAAGCGGTTTCGAAACGGCTTTGGCAGCTCGAGCACTCAGAAAGCAACGTGCTCAGCTTGATCGAACTCGGTTAGGTGCTCACAAGGCTCTCCGTGGCCTGAAATTTATCAGTAGCAAATCCAATGGCGTCGATGCGTGGAACGATGTGCAGAGGAATTTTGATAGGCTTGCCAAGGATGGTTTTCTCCATCGAGCCGACTTTGCGCAATGCATAGGTGCATATCGTCTTCGATTAAGTTTTTTGCATTGCTCATTTCAATTTATGTTCCAATTGAAAAACTCTTCCCGATTTTCTTTTGGTTCCAACGCATTGGATTTTCAGAATTTTGGGATATGAAAAGGAAGAAAAAAATTACTCGCAAATTATTTAGATCTGGCGCATAATTTCCGTCTTTCCCCCCCCTTTCAATATGTGAGAGTTTATCCTGTCTTTTTGAAGGGATGAAGGATTCCAAAGAATTCGCCCTGGAACTGTTCGACGCTCTCAGTCGTAGAAGAAGAATGAAGATTGACAAAATCAGCAAAGACGATCTCTACGAATTCTGGTCGCAAATTACCGATCAAAGTTTTGATTCGCGAATGTAATCATTGATTAATCATCTTTCATGTAATTATTTATTTAATTAGTTAACAAATGCTACTGTTCTCTTGAATAAAGTTTGCACTTCCAGCAAGACACTTAATTGCCGCGATAGGACATGCGGTCACTGTACATTTGCTTTAATAATTATATATTCATCAAAACTTTGATACTTTCTTTGCTTGTAATTCAAATAATATCCTTACGTATTTTATTAAATTTTAATCATCTTTCCAGGGTAGATAAGAACGAGGATGGTAGAATCACCGAACACGAAGTGAAGGAGGTAAGCAACTATTTCATTTCAGAAGACGGAATCATATATTGCAATTAATTGAACTTGATTGTCATCTAGTTTATTCACTTTATCCGAAATAACTTTTGCCAACTAAATTCTGTTCACTACATGGAGTTAAAGATTAGTTAAATTATATATGGCTTAAGAATAATATTGTATATGTGTGTGTGTATTTTTAGTTTCATACTTCATATAAATTATAGAATATAGATCATCTAAATACCATTTTTTATTTCAATTTAAATTTTAACCTAGAGTTTGGTGTTGGCCGAAGAGTGTCCCTGCCAGTTTGCCCTTCACAAGCTTTTAAGCGTTACTGTAGCGTCCAGGGTGTCTATGTTAAGCGCTTCAGCAAATAAGTTATCAAGACTGAAGGAGCGGCAGAAGAATATGCAGCTCTGATCATGGAGGAGTTAGACCCAGAAGGACTAGGCTACATTGAGGTCGGATTACATATCTGGAATTTGTCCTTGCATATATTATAGATATTATAGTATGCATCTGAGTGCCTAATGAATCCTCTTAATTAGCATGTCAAGTGATTTCGTCCATGGTAAACCGTCATACTCGAATAAATCCCGTAGTTTGATTGCTTACATAACTAAAATTATTCTGAAGCATTAAGTAAATGTTGACCGGCATTGCGTGTCCCTTTCATTCGTCCTCGCTGAACTGTACTGGTTGTTAGGGTTTACGTTTTGACCGTAGCTAAGTTCTAACTGGGGTAAATTGTCTAGAAATATAAAATATTTAAAAAAATAGTTCCACACAAATTGAGAAGAATGGTGAGTGTTTAATCATTTCACTTTTTAATAATTTTTTACCCAAATCATTTGTCAAAATAATATAACATCATTTAATATTAAAACCTGACGAGTGAAAATGATCTGGGTAAAAAAATTTAAATTCACAATTATTAAAAATCAAAAATAAAAATTTAGTTGTAAAAATAGCATTTTAAATTACAACATACGTCAAATTTTTGCTCTTGTAAATTTTATTAAAAAATTTAAAATTCATAATAAACATAAAACTAAAGCGTAATCTTTTTTGGTAAAAGTAGTCAAGTACCATTAGCTCTGGAGGCACACACTACACCGAATGCGTTATCACTCCCCTCTTTTTTAGTACTTATTTTATTATGCTTGAGATCCCTTTGTGGGCCGTTCTTTTTCGTACTCAGCTTACAAGTGTCACCGGTGAATACGGAAGCCCATGTGCTGCGGTCTCTGATTCAAGCTTCTTTTTTTTTTTTTTTTTGAGCACTGATTCAAGCTTCTTGTCCTTCAATTATTTTGAGGTATTGATTTTGGACGGCATTTTATCCCCGCAGCTGTGGCAATTGGAGACGCTTCTGTTACAAAAGGACACTTACCTCAACTACAGCCAAGCTTTAAGCTACACGAGCCAAGCTTTGAGCCAGAATCTACAAGGATTAAGGAAGAAAGGTCCGTTGCGGAGGATGAGCCGCATGCTGCTCTACTATTTGCAAGAGAACTGGAAGAGACTCTGGGTCTTGACACTCTGGATTTCAATAATGATTGGGCTATTTACGTGGAAATTTTTTCAGTACAAGCAGAAAGATGCCTTTCAGATCATGGGTTACTGTCTCACCACAGCCAAAGGTGCAGCTGAGACTCTGAAGCTCAACATGGCACTTATACTCTTTCCAGTGTGTAGAAATACCATAACTTGGCTCAGGTCCACCAAACTGGCTTGTATTGTTCCTTTTGACGACAACATCAATTTTCACAAGGTACGCGCCGACTCCAGCAAACCTCGAGTCTCAGTTTCCACATTGGAGTCTTTAATTGAGATGCCCACCCCTTTGATGATTTCCTCGTTTCCTTCATGCCGCTTTGTCTGCCTAGCTACAAATTAATTGGCTTAACGAAGACGTCATAAATTTAGATTTATTATTATTATAATATACTGTAAATTATTGCAAATATAATTTATTAAAAATCATTATAGATCATAGTTTTAATACGTAAATATCAATTCAATTCATAAAATGATTGTTAAGGATACACTAGTAAATTTGATAAAAAATTTTAAATTATTATTTTATATTTAGCAATTTAGGAGGCATTACGTACAGTAGACCCAGTTTAGTGTATTTTTTTAGTAACAATCTAATTTAAAAAAATAGGCAAAGTTTTCTTTAATTTGTTTTTCTTGGCCATCAAGAGGCTGAGTTTTCTTATATAAATTAGCCGGCATGCATGGTATCCTCGTAATAGAAGACAACACAATTAAGCTGGTAGCTCGGGTGAGGGTTTCTCCTCTTCCTTCATTTTCTTTTTCTACTGGTTGGATTGGCTCATTTCAACAGTGCAGATTTTAAACCTTTTTAAAAACTTATTTATAAAATATTTTTTGAAGTTTTTAATGCATTTGTAAATATCTATTTGAACCAAAATCAAGGAAAAGTTTCAATGCTTATCACTTTGATAACACTTTAAGCTCATCAAATCTTAATCGTTTATATATTATTTGGATGGTCTAAATGTGACTTTTTTTTATTTTTATTTGTTTAAAATAATTATTTTAATATATGTAGAATCTAAAATAGAGATAATCTCTTCACTATTATTTTTTTAAAAATAATTTTTCTCTTTAAAAATAATTAATTAAAAATTTTAAATCTAGACTGTTCAAATTACATATAAACGGTCTGGATATGATGAATTTAGAATGCTCAAATAAGTAGTGAAACTAGTTCCCAAAAAGAAACCTAACGTGCCTTATAATTGGCTTTCTCCTTTTCTCTTTTATAGTTTCTGTCACAGTATTTATATTTAAAAATAAATGGCTACGTGCAAAGAATAAGTTTGTGTACGTCCTCCATCTTAGGCGCAAACCTACTCTTTAACTAGCGAATTAATCTTCATTAGTTCAAATTTAAAAATAAGTTATATAAAAAAAATTTTAAATAAATGAAGCATCAGAACCATTTCTGCTTTTTCTTTTTCCCCTTTCTCTATATTCTGTTATGTTTTCTCTAATTTTTTTTCTCTCTCTTTATATTCAATATCTTGAATTTCCTTTTCTCCTTCGCCCAATAAATTTAATATTTATTACCTATAATTTTCCGTATATATGTTATGAATTTTCTCTCGTTTATAGCTTATCCAACTCAAGCCAGGATTTTCATGAAAATCATGTGTTTTTTAATTTTTATTTCAACCATCAAATTTATCCGATGATCATAAAAAAATCAGAATTTATATTACTAAAAACATACTGTTTCATATTTGTTTTATTGAAAAAAAAACAAACAATGCTCTTTGATATAGAAGAATGGCTTTTAAATTTAGATTAAAAATGAATTTTTAGTGACAATTTCTGTTTTCTTTTTGTATGTCACAGGCAATTGCTGCGGCCATTGTAATTGGTGTTATACTCCATGTGGGCGATCATCTAGCCTGTGATTTTCCAAGACTTATAAGTACGACTGACGACAAATACAATCGGTATTTGAATGGAGTGTTCGGATCACATAAACCCAGTTATGGACATCTGGTTAGAGGGGTCGAGGGTGTGACTGGAATATTGATGCTGATTTTGATGGCCATCGCATTCACGCTTGCCACCAAATGGTTCAGGAGAAATCACATTAAGCTGCCCAAGCCATTTAATAGGCTAACGGGATTCAATGCATTCTGGTATTCACACCATCTGTTTGTCATTGTCTATGTCTTGCTCATCATCCACGGTCATTTTCTTTACCTCGTGAACAAACGGCTATGGTACAAGCGAACGGTACATAAATTTTGATCAAGTTACATATACTATCGATGCTAATTCAAACTAGCATCCAGTGATTATTTACTACGGGCTTGATGTTGATTTCTTTTGACAGACGTGGATGTATCTTGCGGTGCCAGTTTTACTTTATGCAGGAGAAAGAATACTGAGATTCTTTCGGTCTGGATTTTATACTGTCCGACTCATAAAGGTGAGCAGAAAAATCTGAAATTGGCGTAGACATATTTGAACAGTTAGCTAAGTTCGTTTGACCACAACCTGGCCCACATTCCGTCTTGCTATAAATTTGACATTCTTGTTAATCGAATTTGCTCTTTGCGCATTGTGGAAACGTTCAGGTTGCCATTTATCCCGGAAATGTTCTCACACTGCAAATGTCTAAGCCCCCACAATTTCGTTACAAAAGCGGACAATACATGTTTGTGCAATGTCCTGCCGTTTCTCCGTTTGAGTGGTAAGTCGTCACATCAGTTTTCTTGCGCTGTTTTGCATCTTGCTGTTGCCTTAGTGATGCTCGTTTATCTATTGTTATTTTCACATTTTACGTTAAGCTTAATATAGATAATGTGATCGTGAATTTTTAGCTGCATGATGGGGGAATAGAAATGAAGGGAATATACCGGAAGAAAATTAAATGGGCACGCTTAACTTTCCTCTGTCTATTGAATTATATCCACTAAACAGAGTACCTGTGATTAGTTCTTCGTATCCTAATGGATTAGAAGCAGAAAAGATGAAAGCATAGGGAAGTCAGGTGACGTCAAATCGTTGCCCAATTAATGTCCATACTCTGTAATGACATGCAACAATATGACAGGCATCCGTTTTCTATTACCTCGGCCCCTGGTGATGACTACTTGAGTGTTCACATTCGGCAACTGGGTGACTGGACGCAGGAACTTAAAAGAGTATTTTCAGAAGCCTGTGAGCCTCCGGTAGCTGGCAAGAGTGGGCTTCTTAGGGCTGATGAAACCACTAAGAAAAGGTGAGTGTGCCCCTGCCAATATATGGCTTTTAATTCTTTGTTCTTCTGCCAAATGATTCACACACACACACACACACAACACACACATCTTATTATTATTACTATCATCATCATCATTGATTTTTATTTGGGCAATCGAAACAGTTTGCCGAAGCTTAAGATAGATGGGCCTTATGGAGCGCCAGCACAAGATTATAGGAAATATGACGTCCTGTTACTAGTTGGTCTTGGAATTGGAGCAACACCTTTCATCAGCATTCTGAAAGATCTTCTCAATAGCATTATCAAAATGGAGGAAATGGCGGTTAGTAGCTTGTGCTGCATAGTTTAATCGCAAGGATTCCAAAGTATTTGTAGATTCCTTTTCATAGTCTGATAATTTTGGTTGCTAACATTGTTTTACTAACTACAATTTGAGAGTTCATTTTGGAGATATTGTAAGATGAAGATAACAATCGTGATTACTTGATGTCCAGGACTCAGTCTCTGATGTAAGTAGAGGTTCAGACCAGAGTCTTGGAAGCGCAGATTCAATATCTCATAATAAAATTTCTCCAAAGCGAAAGAAAACACTAAAGACTACAAATGCGTATTTTTACTGGGTTACGAGAGAGCAAGGTTCTTTCGATTGGTTCAAAGGGGTCATGAATGAAGTAGCTGACCTTGATCAAAGGGTGTGTTATATACTATAGACATTTCCTCTGAAAGAATTCTTAACTTTTTGCCCCTGAAGTGCTGCATTTGCTAATGTTCAACGTCCAATTGTGGACTTCAGGGTGTCATTGAAATGCACAACTACTTGACTAGCGTATACGAGGAAGGGGATGCAAGATCGGCCCTCATCACCATGGTACAAGCACTAAACCACGCCAAAAATGGAGTTGATATCGTTTCTGGGACTAGGGTAAGCCTTTATTTTACTTCATTTTCCTAGTTGTTCTCAAATCGCATGATAGCGGTGATGCCAATTTCATCACTGCATCTTGTCATTCATGGTTTTTCCCTTTCCAATGACCGTGTATTCTTTTTTTTTTTTCTTTTTTTTTTTTGCTTTTTCTTTTCTTCTTGTGCACATCTACTATCAGGTGAGAACTCATTTTGCTAGGCCTAACTGGAAGAAAGTTTTCTCTAAAATATGTTCGAAGCACTGCAATGGACGAATAGGTCAGTCAAATTCCATGAACATTAAACAATACAAAGGTAGCATTTGTTTTTATGTTGTACTGACCTAGACGCTATCCTGGTTCCTAACAGGGGTATTCTACTGTGGTGCACCAGTGTTGGCCAAAGAACTGAGCCAACTCTGCTTCGAGTTCAACGAAAAAGGTTCAACAAAATTTGAGTTCCACAAGGAACACTTTTAGGGAACATGGTACCCAAAGCTGAGTCGTTGACAGCCACCTCATTGCGACTGGAATGAAACCTGTCATTTTAGCGAATAGGCGCGGCCAGACTATATATGGCAATGTCCAATAAAGTAAAAGCATTTTGTATATATAAGTGAAGCTGTGTACATAAGGGCCGGCTTGGCTTTTCATCCTACAGGTGGCTGTCACCAGCATAGGAGAGAGAAATATATATATATATATACACACACACACACATACACACACACGTCGCAAGAGTGCGGTACAGCTGCGTTTGGGATGGGACGTGGTTGATATTGAGAAGGGCCACATATATTATATATTTGCAAGAGGAATGACATCTATAGTAAGTTGGACATAGGCAGTTTTGGAAGAGATAAGGAAGATAGTGGGTCAAAGAAAGTGGGATAGGGATGCCTTTTTTTTTTTTTTTTTTAATTCATAGATTAATTTAATTAATTTCCTCATTTTTCCATCGGTGGGTTCCGGCAATCCTTCTAGAAATAGAAAGCATTGAGGGGTGAACCGGTGATTCAAGTCAGATTCTGCTTGAATTTCTTACCCAGGTTAGAGGATATATGACATGTATTTGTAAATGAGACTGATAACTTCTTTATTTAATAAAACTGCAGATAATAACCCCTTAGCTATGATCAATTCAAAGTTTGGTTACGATTTTATATTTACAAACTTCAGAAGTGAAGAATAGTGATAATCATGTAATTAGGTCAACTGAATTTTCAGTTCTGCATCTTATTATCTCCTGTTAACCCAGATTCCGTTGGCCCAACTCGTCTTGATCTACTGAGTAACAGTAACAGGATGCGTATTATAGCCTCACTTCCTCAGAACATTTCGCAACCGACAAATACGATGAACACCTGACCGTATAGACAACACACCAGTCAAATCCCAACTTGGTAACTTACATCTTTTCAGTAAACACACCTAACTGCCAACTTTACCATACGTTATCTTTTTCAGTTTAACTTTGCCAAACTGAACTAAGCCTCGTCGACTTTCATCATACCCAGATCCTTTTCTTTTCTTTTTTCCCCCCACTGGTCATTAATACTTTGTCAGTTTACGTTATTTTAATATTTTCAGGTTTTTTTTTTGGCCACTGTGATCATTCAAGCAGTCACTGAGTCAGTGTTAACGTGTGATCGGCCACAAATATGTTCAGCAACAATCAACATAATGATGGATCAATGTACAATTCTAAGAACATATATACTTCATATTTCATAATAATAGTTTATGATATCTTGTAAGGATAAGTCAATCTGGTCAAGACCTAAATTGACATGCAGTCATTCTGGGACGAGACCTTCGATTGCCCAAGTTCTTCAGCCACTCAATTGTTTTTTTTTTTCTTTCCAAATTCAAGTTTTTGTTGCCAATATTTTTAGAATGCAAGCATAATAAAAATCCAATATTAAAAAAGCTGGATGATTTTCCCCGTTGCCCTCCTGCACGAGACACGGGGGATTAGTTTTTGCCCCTGCTCACCTGTCAGGCTATAGTTGTTGTGCTAATGTGCTTGCTGTTGTTGACTATTCTTGGGCTGCTGCTTTCCAATTTTCTGAGCGTGAATTTTCTCTTCTTTTCTTTCCCTTCCAACACATGGCATCAGAGCAAAATTGACCTTTATGGAATTGTGTCTGAGAGAAAACAAGAAAGAAAGCCCCACCTCAAAACATAAACACTTGGATCTGAATTATTGACAATGGTGGTACTCTTCATATGATAGCAAACTTATAAACATTCAAGACTTTGGGCAAAACATATTCTTCCGGACAAAAGTTGGTTATGGGAGACAAATGGATATCAAAGGCAAAGGTATTGACGTATTGTATGTGTACGAACTCTATCAGGTACAAAGCTTATCTTTGATGTCTTGTTTTCACAAGTACAAAGCTTATCAAGTACACTACTATTTAGTTGCCACAAGAGAATTATTCATTAAGTTCAAGATTAGATCTTTTGAAATTATTGATCCTTCTGGTATAAAGCTTCATTTAACTAAACCAAGCATGGAAAGCAACTGAGAAGCTCCAGCTGGTTCATGCAAATGTATGTGAACCCAGGAATGTACCTTCGTATATTGGAAGAAATCCAAGTTATATGAAAGAATTTAGAAGGCACATGAAGGGCATATTTGAGACGAATGGTGCTGATGTGTCATATTTTGGGAATTGAAGTTCCTCAAGTTTCAAAAGGCACTTTCATTTCTTAAAAAAAAGTTATGCAGCCGAATTATCATACTTTTCTCTAACTAGTTACAAAGCTGTCGACACCACTATATACGCAACTGGCAATCTATCAAGATACATGCACATGCCTACTGTCAATCAAGCTTTGTGGCTGAGAAAAATTAGGAATCATCTGAAGGGTAAGGAAGAATCTGCTGCAAAGACTTTATGTGATAACAAATCTGCTCTTGCATTTGGTTAAAAATCTTTTGTTTCATGGAAGGAAGCATGTCAAGATTAAGTATCATTCAATTAAGAAAGCATGTCATGAAGTAGTGTATTTTTAGCTTATTTTAAGTGATTTTGTGCTTTGCGTGATAAATATGGGGGAAAAGTTTTGTCTTAGAAAAAACAAAAGAGCCTTTTTTTTTTCTAATTGATTATGGGGTTTTCCAAATACAAAATATCAAATAGTTGATACATTGCAGAAATTCAAGTAAAAAGCTTGGGGTATAGCTGCTTTGCTGATATAATTGTTGTTGCAGTTAGGTTTTTTTATTTACTTTTTGGTCTAAACATCTATTGACTTATCCAAAATCTTTAGGTCTTATTTGCTACGAAATATTGAAAATAAAATATAGAAACTAAAATTACAATTGAAAAAATTTATTAAAAAAATCTTTAGTATAAATAATTACTTGTTATATGGAATTAGACAAACCCATGGAGGTAGGATTGGGGAAGACTACATCCCCCATGGTATTTCTCAATCCCACATACATGGGTTTGTCTAATTCCATGTAACTTTCAATCTCAATCCTTATCACTGATATTCAATACTTCCTACCAGACAGTACCCTAGTGTTTAACTGAATTTTTCGCGCTTTAGGCTATGTCAGTTTAAGGTTTTCTGTCTAGATGAATTAGAAGAGGCAGAGGAGACTTGTACTTCTTATGCCAGGACTATCTATTTACAAGACTACAACAATGTGTCGATTAGTTGTTATGTATTTCTTTATGTTTCGTCTTTCCTTCAGATAACTTTCATGATATATAATTTTAACTCAAAATAACATAAAACCCTGTTCACAGGAATAAATTACCTTCAGCTGAATAATATTGCTCAATAAAAAAGTTGGTGCAGAGTGCAGACTTTTTTTAGAGCTAAAATTTTGAACTTTTCGCTTTAAGATAACGCTACTGGATGCTCCAAACTGTTTAACTTTATCCCTTCAAGCGAAGTAGCGAACTAGTGATTCGTGGATATCAGAACAAGGACTACTTGAAAGTAACAAATCTGTGATACTGTTGCTTATACCAGACTTATGGTTAATTTGTATACAACGTGTTTTGATCAAGGAATGTAGAAGTAAATATTAGTTTACATGAAAAGGTCAAGAACCAGGCCCTATCTTTGTACATCCTCGGCCTCTACAGAGGAAGATAGAAAACAAAAATACTTTCATATTACAATTTTCCCAATCAATAAATAAGCCCACGAACTAAAGCGACCCTTTATGCCGCCATGAAGTTCTGCCGTATAGGCCTTTTTCACTTTGTTTTCCACTATTACTTAACAGCTAATCAATCAATTTAGCTTTAAATACTGGAATAATATGGGGAAAAAAGTTCACGCAAATTAATTAAGCTGGATCGTACTTTATCATAAAATGTGGGAAATAATAAAGATCTGGGAATCATGTGCCCCAGGGTACCTCCTCTGTTATTCCTACGGTAGTGCTCATGCTTCGTGTGCCCCAAGAACAAAAAGAGCCTTTCGAAATAACAAGATCTCAACTTTCCTCAATACAGTGAGGTGGAAAGAAAAGGGAAACTAGTGATTTCAAAGACTCCGAAAGCGACCCATGCGATATTAAAAAGACATGTTTAGGACTTAATTTGCAACTTGCAAATGACCCTTAGGTTCATCTCCGAAGTACAAAACAGATCATTCTTGTGTAAGTTGTAACTGCTTCAGCTTCTCATCTGTAACAGAAAACTCCTTCGGCTTCTTCTGTTATACATACTGAATTATATATTGTACAAGAGTGAGACCCCTTAGCAACTCGATCGCGACGTGAGACTGAAGCGATCATGTACAAAGGCAGGCACGAGCAACGAAGCAGCAAATGGTTCGTCTTCCTTTTGGCGGCTTTCGTGTTGCTGTGTGCCATCATTCTGGGTTTTGCGTCAATCGTGTTGCGGGTCAAAAGGCCCCTGCTTCAGCTCGAATCGGTCTCCGTGAATCACTTGAGTTATAGAACTTCACCGTCACCTTCCTTTAATCTCAAGATGGTTGCTCAGATTACTGTCAAGAATCCAAACTTGGGAAGATTTGATTATGGAAATAGTAGTGTGACTGTGCTGTACGAGGGCTCTAGTGTTGGTGATAGAGAATTGCAGAGTGGCACAGTGAAGAGCAGAGAAATCAGAGCAGTGAATGTTACGTTGAATTTAAGTTCAGAGAAGGTATTGTCTTCTGGCAATCTCTCTAGTGATATCCTTTCTGGGGCTTTCAATCTAACAGCCTACACAAAGCTCACTGGCACTGTCCATCTTCTTAAGTTTCTGAAGAAGAAAAAGTCCACTGAAATGGCTTGCGTCATGCGTCTCAACCTGACCTCCAATTCAGTTCAGAATTTGAAGTGTTAATAACATACTTCTGGGTATGTTCTTTTCTTTCATGGTTCCTTCCTTTGATTTCAGGATCACATTCATTTCAAACCAGTTTTACGTATCTTTCTGGTATGTATATTAAAACCATATCATTTTTGGATTATCAATTTCGCTGCTCTGAACGTTCTTGCGAATCCTATGGTTTTTCCATTTTGTTTCTGCTGGTCTTCGTTTATGCTAATTAGTCCAGGCGTTGGTGGTTCTCTTTTATTAGCCTTGAGTACTGAAACATTAACTTGTAAAAAATTTGCATCAGTGAGTTAAAGAAAACAAGAATTACATGAATCTTTAAATCCTCTCCATTCGCAGAAGATTAAGACAAGAAAATGAGATTAATATGGGAACCAAGTGTAATGATAAGATATCAGATATATGACTATTTCATCTTTAAAAAAAAGATATATGACTATTTCACAGTTTCTTTCTCCTTGAATTATTAAGGCATGATCGCAGCGGCCATTAGGGCTCTTGGATGAGGGCCGCCTTCCTAGCAGTTTATTGGCTTAAGCACGAAGGAATCCTGAATGGTTTCCATCAAAACGAGGCCTAATTTCAGGTGGAGTCGCATCAACCCCTGGCTTCCATCCATTTTACAAACTCGAAAGCCGTACGGATTTCTTCATTCTGAACACACTAATTGCCCATAAATGCCCATTGGTTGAGTAATCAATTCCTGAATCGGACGTTGAAAGAGAAAATACTGGCTCTGATATGATGTCATTGAATGCTTGATGCAATCCTCAATTCTCCATGTTGCTTAGTCTACAGACACATCCCCACATAATCTCCTTCAGCGTATGTGACACGATCAGCAAAATAAGACTGGTCATTTTCCTAGAAACAAGGCACTCGCTTTTTGTGTTGCAAAAGTTATTTTCTTTAGCGAAAAAGACACATAAAAGGCAACTACTACATAAGTTTGTGCTACGAGAACTGGAGGGTGCTGTCGCCCAAGCAAGATTTTTTTGGTTTGGTCACACAAAGAAGCTTGTTCTCTTCTCTCTTTTTCTTGTGCTACGCAAAAAAACCAATTTTGATACTGAAAGCCCAACGATAACTGAGGCAGCCCAATGGCCATCAAATTATGCAAAGTGATACCTACCCACTTGATGCCTTAATCCATTAAACCAAACAGATATGTCCACATATGGCTTTTCGGAGTCCAGTTTTTGCAGGTTGAAACTGGTCAAAACTTGTATTTAAAAAGATCATTGGAGACCGGATATTATGCCAAAAGAATGAGATTATCTTGGCAAGAGAGCTTTGGCATTATTGATTGTCCAAGTCCAAGTCTCTCTTTGTCATGGTTCCAAACAAATTGCTTTCGCAAGTACCATTTTCTTTTTTTCTTTTTTTTTTTTGGTCTCTTTGACCAAGCAATGAGCAAGAGACAATCACGGCAGGCCGTCGACAAATCAATTTAATTTGTAGAGATATGTTCTCACCAGGCCTCCTCTAATTTAATTCTCCGCATCCTTCCGATCAATTTCAACTCTAATTATATTAAGTTTTCCAAATATGCAATTTCACATGACTTGATTGGGTTTACAATATTTCATCAAGAATCGACAATACAGAAGATTGCTGGCCACATAGTACTACTATATTGCAATGAAGGTCAAGCCTTCGCATTTACACGGTAACGTGTCTGAGGAGTTAACACCAAACAAGGGCCGACTTCGTCATTTGTCAAGTCAAGAGGGAGAGGTTAAACACTAAGTTCCATCCTATTCTTGTCCAGTCGGGTAAGCTTCATCTATAATATCAGATCACTGGTTCAAAGTTTTGCCCTGGAAGTGGTAGTTTCAAGCTAAGCAATCATGGCTGGCAGCAGAGAGCAGGTCAAACCCTTAACGCCACTATCGTTCACTAACTCTAGCAGCGACGAGCATCAAGCCATTTTTATCAACGACGATCGCCTCATCAAGTCTCGAAGACGAAGGTACGTCCAGTGCTGTGGATGCGCCACAGCCATCGTGCTGGTCATAGTCGTCACCTTCTTAATATTTAGTTTCACTGTGTATAACGTTAAAGAGCCCCGGCTGAGTCTGAACGGTGTAACTGTTTTGAATTCCACTCGAAGTAACGATGCCAACATGACTCTGATAGCTGATGTCTCAGTCAAGAATCCCAACGTCTTCACCTTCAGGTTTGGCAGCAGCACCACCACACTTTACTATAACGGCACTGGGATTGGAGAAGGGAGGACGCCGCCGGGCAAGGCCTTGGGTAGAAAGACGATGAGGCTGAACGTCACCGTGGAGATCGTGACAGAGAAGCTCATGGAGAACCCAAGCCTGAGGAGCGGTTTGATCAGAGAAAAGGCTCTAAATATTAGCAGTTATACCAAAGTAGGTGGCAACGTTAAAGTGCTGAATCTTATTAAAAGGAAGGTTGAGGTGAGTATGAACTGTACTGTGGTATATAACAAAACCAGCGGGTCAACTCATGCTGAGGCTTGCTTCACCAGCATTGGTTTCTAGGCTTTCACTGTTTAAGGGTTATTGTTTGAGAAAAAAGATGTATTATGTCCCCTGTTCTCTCTATGGGACCCATGTCTCTGGCTCTGGGGTGGGTCTGATCAGCTAAGATAGACCAAAAAGAAAAGACCTTCTTTGTTTAATAATCAAGAAAGAATGTAAATTATTTGTGAAAATTATCAATTTATGCATGATAATTCTACTTTGTTTAGAATTTGATGTATAGGCAGCCGGAATTTGTGGGTGATGGATGGAAGCTGAACTTACTAAACAGGAATGCCAAATAGCATAGTCCAAAATTAACAGTTTGATGAACCTTCAGGTGAAACGCACGCATTAGTATCAATTGAGTTGTTAAGAATCGTTGATTCAATGGTACCTCTTTTATACTCACAAGGACCAAAATAAGTGTATGTGTATGTAAAGTGTGACCTCTCTTGTGGGGGAGAGGGGTTTAAGGGAAAAAAGAAAAAGAAAAAGAAAAAAGAACTCCTCAGAATTATGTTCCAAAAGTTTGGTATTAGAACACAGGTTCCTTGCAATTGGATCCCAATACAGCATACTTGCCATTCACACTTTATTTAATTGTCCTTTACCATATTGGATCTTAGGTTATGTATGATAATTTTTTTTGAAGTACACAGTTATGTATGATAATTGTTTCCTTCACACTTTATTAAATTTCCTCACATGCAACGCATGGGGTGCATTTTTAATCTTTTAGTTTCGTAAAACAAAACTGAAGATGGGTGAATTAGATGACATGCAGACATAGAATCCCAGTTTAACGGGGAAATTTGGGCTCCTTGTTTCTCATGTGGGGTCAAAATATGGGCCCTACAAACCCAACAAAGAACGGGCCAACCGGAAAATGTATAGTCCAAAAGTCCATATGTGGCACAAAAAGACAAATGAAGGGTCTAACGTTATAATTTAGTATTTTACAAGCAGAGAAACATGACCATAGTGGGGGCACTAACATCAATGAGGTTCGCCAATTCCAATATCTGCCAGGCTTCAGACACATTGAGGGCTAACACTCCAACAGCACAGAGCCAGAGAAAGAGAACCCTCTCTCGAGTTTTACCGAGAATGAGATTCCCACTTATAAAATTCACTTGCGTCTAATTATAATCCAATCCCTTTTCCTTTTCTTCCTCCCCAGTCTTCAACCCCCTAAAAAGAAAATCTCACTTTTTACTGCTCATGTCCCCGTCTTTCCCACTTCTCTGACCGCAAATTTTTCTCCTCTCGACTCTCGAGTTTGACACTCATCATGCTCCTTATTATTTAAAGTTGGCCACTTTATATCAAAATCAATGACATTTACTGTTGTTTTTTCTGTTGTTTTAAGCCAGCATTGAACCGGCTCACATTGTGCAGAGCCAGACTTTGAAGAACAGGGGATAGCTTCTTCAGAGATATCTGGTCCCATCTTCAAACCAGGTTTTGAAGATCACTGAAGGACAGGCTTCATGTGGCAGTCTAATTCAAGGCTCACGTGGAAACTACATCGACAGATTCATAAAGAAAATCCCACTAATAGTACTATTGCTGAGACATGCAGAATTCTTACAATCTATTATTAAGAGGAGGAATTTGGTAAACCAGTGGCAACCAGCAACTCAGCAGAGGAAATCAATATTATCTTTAGGGAGTAGGGACATTACCCCAAGAGACCAAGACACATGATAAATATTCATGTTGAGGTTGGTGGGGATTTACTAATTAGGCATTGAACTATTCGTTTACACAACAAAGCCAATAAATGTTACCTATTGACTCATTACATCGGCCCAAGATTTAGATGTGAATTTCTGTTTTCTTTTTTCTTTTTTTTTCATGCCGTTCACTATCATTAACTTAGGCTGAAGAGCTTTGGATAAACAAGAAATTTAGAGGCCTCATTTTATTTAATGATATTTCATAATCTTTTATTTCAAACCAAAAAAAGAAAAAAAAAACAAGCAAACCAAAACGGAAGAAGGAACCCATCAATTAAACTAGTAGTAAATACTAATTACTGAAGGGGTCAAGAAACTGTTTGGTCTGAGCTACATAGATACATGATACATTACAAAGAAAAGGCATCATCTTCTTTCACCTGCTAGGAAAGAAGAGCTTTACAGTTTTATCCTACTGAGAAGAAAAAAATAGTGACCCAGGCAATAAGGGCCATACCGAACACTCCCAAGAGGGGAACATTACTTACTGAAGTCTACCAGCAATAGTTTAGTACTATTCGACTACTCACTGTAATAACAACTAAAATTCTTTTTTACACACAGAGCGGTGTGACGTTTGAAAAGAACTCAAATCTTGCGTCTCTCGCCCTAATTCTCTCAAATTGTTTGACAGAGCACTCCAAAGACGTTTAAGGGCACTTGTCTTTGCCTTTCTCTGTCGATTTTCTTGATAATTCCGGCGATATCTCGTGCAGGGGATCGCTAACAGAACGTGGCAGCTGGGAAGAATCGCCCTCTGTTTTAAAATGAGAATAAAATATAATCAGATTCTTCGAATTCTTTAAAGTTTTAATATAGATTCAATTGACCAGTAATTACTCCTAAATGATTCCGAATATCTCCCACCCAACAACAAAAGTTGCAGAAAAATAGAAAATTGAAACTTTTTTTTTCCCCTTTTACCTCGGGAGGCATTGAAAGACCTTTTGCAGTGCAAAATGGCGCCTTGGATTCCATCCTGTTGCTGCAGTAGTGAATCATCACGCCGTCTCGAAGAGGTTGCTCCGGCAGGTGCCGCTGCTACCGCCGACGAAGCGGAACGACTCTTCCCTAAATGCTTGCACACAACCTTCAACCCGGCTGGAAGATTTCCCTGTTTTTGCTGAACCTTCGTTTCAGAACTGTCCGCTTCAGTCGGAACCTTCTCGGCTACTGCTTTTGGCGGAGAAGGTTTCTGCACCGCAGTGGCCGGCGTTGGCCCTGCTGGTTTGGCTCTGGAGCTCACGTTGAGCTGCCCGGAAAACCTCAGTTTGCCACCGTACCTTTTTGAAACCTTAACGTACAGAGGCTTCACCATTTTCAGATATTTTTGCATTACTTCCTTTGAGAAACGCTTTTCGTCCGAAGCTGAAGACAGTGAATCCTCAGTGTTCTGCTTCAGGGACTTGTTCGCCGAAGCGCCTCTAGAGCTGTTATCTCTTGTAAAGAGAGACATAATGGGAACTTCTTCGATTTTAAATTTCACAGTAAAAAGCTTCTTCTGCTGTTGTTGCTCCGACGGCTTCTTTTGTGATTCCGGCGGTTGAGTTTCTTGCTGTTTCGGAGCATCAGACGCATTAGACTCTTTGTCCGACGCATTCGCTTTGGATTTCTTGAGAGCGGACATAAAAATACGGAACTTGGTAGCGGATTTCAACAATGACGCCGTAAACTGAGGCTTCGAATTGGCTTCGGATTCAGAGGAGTTAATCACAAAAGAAGAAGGTTCCACCTCCACTAACTTCCCTTTAAAGAACAGATCGTCGGAAGGAGAGAGCGAAAGGTTAGGATCACTAGGATCATTGGTCGAAGGAGAGAGCGTAAATTTGAACTCTCCCTCGCCGTCTCCATCGTCCGAACCGTCATCAGCTTGTTCCTCCTCGCTATGCATGGGCGAGTTGCTTCCACTATGGTTTACATTCAGATTTTCAGGGCCATCCTCAGCCTCGTCGGGCACCGTAAACTCCAAGTCAAAGAACGGCCCGTCATCATCGTCGTCGTCGTCTTCACCGTCGGAATCAACGGCAGTTTCAGATACGGCGGTGACGATGGTGGTGGTAGCGTCGGGAGAAGGGGGAGGAGGAGCTCCAGGAGGGAGCGAAGCACCGGCTCGCCAGTATTTGAGTAAGCTAAAAGCTTCCATGGTTGGGAGAGCCAGTATACACAAGTGGGGGAGAAGGAGAGATTCGGTGGGTAGCTTTTTAGGAGGGGAGGGAAAGAGGGAAAGGGATGGTGAGAGTGGGAAAAAGGGAGGAGAAAAGGGATGATTTTTGAGGTTTCCAATACTCACTCACTCGGTAAAGATGGTAAACAGGTTTATCAGATGAAGCAGAGTTTTGGCCCAAAAAAAAGATGAAACAGAGACAGAGAAAGAAAGGGAGGGAGGGTTTATTTTGTCAGTTTCCTTAGTTGCAGGACGGACATGTGAGAAGAGTCAGGAGGAGTGTGGAGGCAGGGGAAGTAAAAATTCATTGATGTAGGGAAGGGGCTTTTATTTCAATGCAAAGACTTCAGAGACGTGAGAGGGCTACTTGGGGGGCGCTGTACATACACTGCATAACTACTGCATCTACGGCTTTCAGTACTACGACCTTTTCTTCATAGTTTATATATAAATATATATATCTCTCCTCTCTCTTGTATTATTATTATTTAATTCATCAGGGAGGTGGCCACTTTTTCATTTTAGGGTACAGGGGCTTCTGCAGACCTGCGTCGCCTTTTATTTAGACTCATATAAAATTACCCCCGAGGCCCTAAGTTTACCATATTTTACTACTGACACTAAGGTGCTAGGTGGGGTTTTATTTCTGAGCAGAAGAATGGCGACTTGGCTACAAGAGCGACAGTGAACTGAGGGGGCACTCAATTATGGTGCAGGTCTCTGAAGAATGCGCAGAGATGGCAGAAGGGAGCCCCTCCCATTAAGAAATGCCGCGACGCTGAGGCGAATGTGGATGGATATCTATTCGATGAGTGATGCATAATGACGGCAACAAAAAAACACACTAACTTGTAGTATCTCATATGAGATTTACCTTTAGTGAATAACAGAGGCAATCCAAGTAGAAGCTAGGCCTCGCAAAAGAATTTTGCATCGGTTATCTTGTAAGTGATGTCAAGCAAATACTTCTATCATATAGAAAGAGCCAATCATCCCATTACAGGAGATGTGCCATTTGCCCGTGTTTAATGTCAATCCTGCTCATAAGTAGGGGTGGACATGCCGTACTTGAGGTGTTTGAACATTTTAAAAAGTGTTTTTTAAAAGTATTTTTTTATAAATTGAAATAAATTTTTTACGTATTTACTAAAATTATTTTTAAAATTATAGTTTTGATTCTATCTAAATACTTCCTTAAACCGTAAATAGATGGTCAATAGAAAGCACCATATTGACGGGGACGTACGGCCAACTATGCAGATTGATAATAACTCGACGCTTCTTCGGAATGGTAATAGAATTCTTGTTAATCATGATTTATAAAATATAAAATAAATATGTAAAAAAAAATTATCTCGAATTATACGAGCAGATTCTAATCATGATTCCTTATAGGTCCTCAGAAGTCGATTTTTGGCTAAACTTGCTGTGGGTTGCACCCTACTCCATTGGTAGTTCGTTGACATTTGGGGGCTACCACACCCAGCTTTGGGAACTAGTGATTGCTTTTGACCTGGCGGATCTAAAGCCCCGTAAGCAGTTTCAATAAGGGATGTTCGTACGTGTATTGTGATGGGCAACCGGCACCTACCATTAAGTATGGTTCAATTGAATGTTTCAACAACAGAATAAAAACAAAACAAAACAAAACAAAAAAATCTTTGAATTTCAAAATATTAAATTAGTCTTATTTATTATATTTTAATAACAATTTTAAATAATAACACGTTTTTATAGTGATTCTTGGTGTAAGATTTTAAAATTTTATAGGTAGTCTTTTGAAAATTTTTCTATGAGAAAATTATAAACAAATCTCTTATTGAAAATTTAATTGGCAAATAGGACTTAAGGGTTTTGTGTAGCTTAATTTTTACTGTGTACAGCTTAACTTATTTTGTGCGTAATTTTTTTTTTGTGCAATAATCTTCTGATGTGCAACTCAATTCACCTTTGTGCAGATAAAATTCTTTTATGTGCAAGTCATCTTTCTTATGTGCAAACTAATCCCTTATATCCAAATAATTTTGTGCAAACCATCTTTTCTTTGTACAACTTACTTTCCTTTGTATGCAATTAATATTCTCTTATACAATTAATATTTTAGGGATCATTTACCAATTAAATTTATAACGAGGGGTTTGTCTCTAATTTTTTCTTTTGCTGTTCCAATTCTCTTTTTTGAAAAGAAAAGGTGTTTTTGCAATTGTTACTTTCTCAGGCCAAAAAAATTATCCACGTTATCTTCACGTCACCCTTTGCACAAGGACGTTGGTTTCCCTTGAGGTGCCTTTTGTCCTGTTCTCCTGTAGTGTTCAATTAATATTCAGGGTCGCTTGAATTGGGTTATATGAGTGCTTGTATACACGTTTCACATAAGTCAGTATATTTTTTTTTATACACTAATTTTATATTTCATAAATTATAATTAAAAAATTATTTATAAATCATTTTAAACAAGTACTTAATTTGATAGTTTATTCGATCTAACCACATTCATCATGTGTTAAACTTGGTCATGCTTGATCTTAGGTATGTATATGATTTTTTTTATAAGTATTAATTGATTTTATGATATTCTTTTAATAAATCATATATATTAAATTAAATTATTATTATGAAATTTTTTAAAAATTTGATATTTTAATTTTATTTAAAATTTTAAATCGATCCCCTAACTTTTTTTGCAGTGGGACTGATTTCTTAACTTGATATTACAAAGAGAGTTAATACAATTTTAGTTTATTAGGTCTGCGTTTATTTTGATCATTAAGTTTCAAACCATAATTTTCTATCTCTCAAGTTTCTTTTTATTTAAAATACTGGTTCTTGTAATTTAATAAAAATTTAGATTATTTTACCTCTTCAAAGACCAAAGTCTATAATTTAAAATTTGAGAGACCAAAACCAGAATGAAAGCAAACTTAAAGAACAAAAAATTATATTAACTCTTTTGTAAAATTAGTGTATAATATTTGAGTATTTATAATTTTGAAAATGCATTAATTATACTTTTTGTTAATAAATAAATTTAAAATTTTAACAATTTATTCAGGATAAGGTCAAACCAGGTCTTATACGTCTCTAATTGAAAAAAAAAAATTTAGATGTTAAGTTTTCCAGTTATGCATGGTCATGTGTCATTTTTTTATTTAATACGAGTTTATAATTAAATGTTATTAAATAATACTTCAAAAATAACAATATGATTATGTATGATTTAAAAACTCAACACAATAAATATAAGTAACTTATATAGGTATTGACCTCTCTAATTTGTGAAATTATTTTGAAGGACAGTGCCGGAAAAATGTATAAAGGAAAACGTTATGATAAAGCTGTGCGTCCCTTCCTGCCCCATTAATATTACACTGTACGTTAATTTTACATCATGGATTGTCTGAACTAGTTTTTCATAAATAATTTTATGAAAGATAAGTGTGTGAAAGAGAGTTTGGAAATCCCTCAGAAACATTTAAAAATAAAAAATACTTTTTATACACATCAAGAAAAAACTCTTCTCGTATAATTAATTTGTATATTATAAAATTATTTTTAAAAAACCAATCAAAATATCAAAAATCAAAAATTTATTTGGACGCGGAAATATCTTTTCAAGCGTTTTTGAATTTGCCCAACTCCCCTTATGCAAAATATTTAGGAAAACAACGGATAGACAAATATTTGGCCAAAGAAAAAACTGACAGAAGTTAGAAGAGACATGCAAGGCTCGCATGGCATTTAATAGTACCATTACAGTGACACTGGTTTTTGTTTTATTATAATGAGTTGATTATGTTTTCTTCTAACGTGAAATGACAAAATATGCTGTGTAAGTAAAGAGACTTTAAAAACAAACATATTAAAAAAATAATATAGCTTGCGCCGTAATTATAATTTCTCGAGTCTTGAGTCTTGACTAGAGTGATCTCATTGGGTGCGTAATAAATGCAATTATATGAGTTTGATAGATTAACTTTTGCAAAATCGACTTTGATCACCTGCATTTTACAGATTAAAATTAAGAGAAAAAATGATTTAGGCAATGTGATTTATGTTTAGATACACTTTTATTTAAAAACTAATTTAAAAAATAAGACTTATTTAGATGATATAATGAAAAGAAAAAATTAAATGTAGAATTTTTTTATGGAGTTAATAAATAGAAATTTAAAATATGATATGAAATATTTAAAAATACCCTAATGGCATGTTAATAAATTATTTTTAAAGAAAAGAAGTCAAGGTACAAAAGCTCAAAATGTGACTTCCAACCCAACAGGACTTTTGAAGAAGAGAAGCAAACAAGAGTTAGAAAGACCCACATGAGATGAAGACTTTAATTGCCACTATAAATTTATTTGTTTAGGGAAAGTCAAGACTCAAGAAGACTGATTGATTATTGGTTTGAAGTTTTTGGGAACTGATATAAGGAAGAAGGATAGTCCCCTGTAATGATGTGGTGGGGGCCTCCTCATGTTTTTTCAACTTGATGGATCACCAACCACCGTTGGATCTTATCCATCTCTTGATTTTGCTCTTTGTTTTATTCTCATCTTCCTTCTTTTGTTTTTAATCTCAAGGCGATCCCACATCCTATCCGACGCTACCCCCATGCCCCCGCTCTTTTTGTATTTTTGTAATGACCCCCAACTCAAGTTCCCCCACCTTTTAACAATTCTCTATCAAAGATAACGACATCACTCACACTCAGACACGTAATGGGTTTGTCATTTTTTTAAAATTATAGTCTTGCATAGGATTATACCTATCTACGTGTTGGTGGTCTCATTCTAATATTTCATAGAAGAAAGGAAATTTCAGTTGTTGCTAAGGTTACTCTATTTGATACCATCTACACTTCCGTTTTGGAGTGATATTTACGTGCTACCTGACACTTGATTCTTAATCAGAGTAGGATGTGGTGTAGGTTCATGATTGAGATTTTTTTTAGTGGCTATATGGTGATAATTATGGTTTATTTATCTTTAGATAGTTTAAATTCTATTAATTTTTATATTTCTAGAGGTATTTAAAAAGGTGAAATAAAAAATAATATTTACACTGTGAATTGAAAAACTTAAAATATATATTTTCAGTGGTAAAATTTAATAAAAGGGATTTTTTTAAAAAAACTAAAAGATCGAATACTGGACTGTGTTTGTTTGCATGTGTATTCAATGTTTACTTATTTACCTTGCATAACCAGTTTGACGTGACGGGCGTTTACAAAATTGTAAAATCATCGTCGCATGCAAATTCATGGAGGCTCTTCACTTCTTTTTCTAAAATACTGCCTCCTACGC